TAATATATTTCTAAGAAAATATTCATCCATCTTGCTGTAGTATTAAAACTATCTTTTCTCTCTCCAGGTAAGTGCTTTCTGTTCTTGATAAAGAGGACCCAGGCCTAGCTTCCCTCGAGTCTCTTTGTGTCTTAGCCCTCATCACTCAGGATGCAAGAACCACTGATGTCTCAAATGCTCCGTGAGCCTGGTGTGCTGCAGGGACTAAATCTTCACAGGCATTAAACCCCGGGCCAGGTTTATCTGGGCTCCCTGTCTTTGGCTGCTCAGAGCAAATTAACTGCTCTGCTAATAAGTCCGCCCAGAAGCAGACAGTTGGCAACTAGGGGGGGCGGTGTTGGGGGAGGGGTGTATGGCTGGCTAGCAGGGCAGAGTATAGCCATTTGTATCCATGCTGGGCAAAGAACGAGTTGGAATCAGGGTTTTTTCCCCACTTTGCCACTTGCGGCACTTTCTTTGGCAACTGGACACTGGGCAGTCGTGGTGATGGGTGCATCCTGTCCAGCACGCAGAGAATTTTGTCCAGTATTTCCCAAAGCCGACCATGGAATGGAATTCAATCAGATAGGTCTAAATAGGCTTCTTTATCACAGGAATTATCAGTCTTTGCTATACACTAACGTCTGTTGAGACTCAGTAAGAGGGGAGTCTACTTGGCTCTGAAGTTTGACCAGAGAATTCTTTCGAGCACATGTGTGAGTGTATGGCACCTCAGGGCTTTGACACTCCCTTCAGGGACACTGTTTAGACCAATGTCCTACTTTCACAGGTGAGACAACAGGTGCAGGGAAGTGCAATGACTTCTTTGGTCACAGTTCCTGTGGGGTTATTTCCAAAGGATTATATATATATACACACACACACACACACACTAACAAAAGACATAATAACATTGATATCTGGTCCCTTCCTAAGGAGCACCTGCATTTAGTGATGAAGAATCACAGGAAGCGGGGGAGGAACTGTTTCACCAAGTGAAAAACAGAATAGGCATATATTTAAAAACTGATAGATCTGAGGGTGAGAGGGAAAGATGAAAGGAAGAAACAAAGAATGCAGACAAGGAACAAAGATATTAAAAGCGGCAAAAATCCATTTTCAAGTGATGAAGACATGAATGATGCTGGGCCCTCACATTTCTGGCTCCTGGTTAGCTGACAGTGTCCCTCCACACATTTTGGAACCAGCATTGGTTATTTGGCAAAATCAGAGCCAAAGATGAAAACCTAAGCTTTAGCTGAAATCAGAGGTTCTCAGCTCTACACTGTGACCTCTAACATCCAAGGAGCCACCAAGGTCCTGAGCATCTTCTCCGGAGCCATTGCCTACAGGATTACCATGTTCCAAATAGGTACAGACGCTATAGTGGTCAATGACTGCCACCTTTAATAAAGAGATCACTGACTCCTTCATGGCCTTTGTCATTATAGATTGAATCAACTGATACTAAAAGAGCAGCTACTGGCCTGTATCTGGCATATTAAACCCACAATAAAAACTTGTTCAATAAAGAGAAGGTCTGCAAAGTTATGTTGACATTACAAGATTCCTTCCTTCCTGAAGAGGTGGGATCCTGGGACCAAATGATGTTTTTGTCTGTACCCGGGAATTTCATTTCCATGACAGACAGGCCCAGGCACCCCTTCTGTCCATCACGCGTTTATGTCTGTTATTATTTCATGTCAATACATTATCTGAAGCTGGAGACTCTTAGACCATCTCTGAGGTCCTTCCATCCTGATGGTCTATGGAAGCCCTGAGTCCCGGGGATGGCAGGAAGTGAGGACCGAGAGCTCGTCTGAGTCTTAGTGCCCAGTCAGGTGTCTGCACACAGCAGGTCATCAAGGAAACCTGGAGAGACTCAGGGGCTTCAAACAAATGAATCAGGTGCAATTCAGGCCTTTGAATCCAGTGAGCTCCCCAGCTTGGAGGTATAACTACCCCCCCGCCCCCGCCCAGTGTGTGCACCTCCCCAGCCCTGATGCCCATCAGCCAATCCTTCCCTTCTTCAGCACCTGTCGGATTTACTGATATTAGCCCCTCTGTCCGCTATATTCTCACAGTCAACCTGATCCTCACTCTACCAAGTTGGATTCTGTGGGTCAGAGAATCCACGCAGGATGCCCAGCAACCTCCTGACCCCCTCCCAACTCCCTGCCCATGGGAAGCTGCCGCCACAAACATATTTGCATGGGGTCACTCTGGAGGGCTGTAATCTGGTATTTTAAATCACCCTGCATGGGCAGGTATCTGAGGAAGGACCAGCTCACTGGGACGGGTGGGTGTTCCGGCGGGGTGAGGAGGATGACTGAGGTGCTACCAAGACGTGGGGGCATGGTTGGCAAGGAAAGCCACACAAAACAAGAGCACCACTGAGCGTTAAAGGGCAGATTTGGTGGGTGGGATCCTGACCCCTAGAAGCAGCTCTCCCAAGTGGAGTCGACTGTCTCCTGGTTGTGGGCATCCCATGGGCAGTGGCTGCAGTTAGAGGTTGGAACTTGGCTGCAGGCTCCTGCTCTGAGTCTCCTCAGGGTGGCCCGGGGGCGGGGAGGTGGTGGGAGATACCAATGATCTGCCCTTCTTCGCTGGGGCATCAAGGGAGAGAGATGCCTTCATCAGCAAGACAGAGAGAAGTCCCCTACCTCCAAGGTCCTCGGACTTGCCAAGTGACGGGTTCCCAGATTCCCTTTACAAGGAGGCCTCTCCTCTGCATGCATAATACTATCTTGTCTTCAAGCCTGAGGCATGTCCAGTGGGAAAGCCAGAGCTATGTCTCTTCCCAAAGTGTGATACCCCATTTGACCTCTCCCAGAAGCACCACTGAGAATCTCAGGGCACAAGGGCTGAAGGTTCTTCCTTGCTGGGTGGTGGTGGGAAAGCCAAGGCTGGTGCCCAGACCCCAGCAGAGGTGCCTGTGGAGCTGACAGCATTTGCTCTCAATGACCCACCCTGGCCTTGGTATGCCATGGCTTCCCAAAGAGGACCCTTGGGATAAACAGCACAGGAGGCCGGAGAGAGCACAAAATCAGGAGCCATAAGCCCCGAGTTTTAGTCCTAGCTCTTCCACTTCCACTGTGTGGCCTCGGCAAATCACATAACCTCTCTGAGCCCCTGTTTTCTCATCTCTAAAATGGGGTGAGATCTGCACCGTCCACTTCATAGGGCAGTTTTGAGAAACGTGAAAACTATGAGGAGGATGCTGACAGTGCCGACGAGGACGGTAACAAGGGGGGGTTAGCTTTCTCCCCTTGTCCCCCCGCCCCTTTTCTCCTGCCAGGTGTGCTCAGGGGCACACATCTTTTCAAGGAGTTAGATCAAACTGCTCTTAGATGCCGAGACAGGTCACCCAGAGGCTTGCAGAAGAGTGTGGTGGCTCCCAAGGCTGTGGTTTTTAAACTGAGCCTGACCGACTGGGGAGCAGGTGTGACCTTTCAAGGTTTCCATCACCTCTTTGAGTCCTTGTGAGAATGTCCAGTTCTGGTTTTGCTGTAGCCAAGTGGCTATCACTCTTCCTCTGCTTTTCTCGGGGTGGAGAGGCTACAAGTCTTCCCTGTGGTCCTCACAGTCCAGCAGCAATTCAAGGAAGCCAGGTCCCAACTCAGGGGTCTGCTCTGCTCCAGTTCCCAGAGCCTGGGGCCTCTGAAGACCCCAGCAGTGACAGGAGTGGGCGGCTGGACTCTGGCTCTGCCCAGTGTACTGTGTTTTATAAGTTAGAACCACCTCTGAGCTGTTCTAGCCCAGCCCACAGATTTCATGTTGCAGATGAAGTTAGAGGGGGTTGGCTTCCCTGAGCCACATGGTCATCTAACGGCCAAGCAGGGCTGGGCGTGAGTGAGTCCACCTCGGTTACTTCACTCCCCCAAGCTCTAGCCCTTCAACCATAACACATATGCAGCACCTTCCTAAACATCCCAGAACTTCATTTCAATAGTAAAACTACAAGGTCAGGGCATCCCCTCTTGAGAGACGAGGACAGTGGGCACAGAGTGACCTGCCCCGTGTCGGTTGGTTGAGTGAGTGACATGACTGGCACAAAAGCCCCTCTGTGCTTGTCCCTAGCTTGGTTTCCAGAAACAGCAGGCTATAAAATGGATTCAAGCTGGAGAAGCCCTTGCACAACCTGGTGCAAGCTCCCCCGGGCCGCTCAGCCATCGGCCACCTTCTGTCCCTACGCTCCCGCCCTTCCCCCAGAGCCAAGCCCAGGGGCTAACTCCCTTGGTCCCACTGAGTATGTTGATTCCCAGGCTGCCCACCCAGGCTCCTTCCACCCCCTGCTCCGTCCCCCGGCACAGCCCCTGGAAAAGGCTGGTTCTCACTCACCGGGCGAGGGCGTGTCTCCCGGAGGAAGGACTTGAGGTCTCCTCCCGCCATGAGCTCCAGCAGGATAAACCGGGGCAGGGCTTGCAGGCTCACCCCAATACAGCGCACGATGTTCTGGTGGTTGAATTTGCTGCAGAGCAGAGGGGAGTAACGGAATTTAACTGAGCTGAGTCTGGGAGAATCTGACGTGGGCAAAGCTGGGTTAAAGTTATGTTTTCACTGTCACATTATGGAAATGCATTCTGTAAACGTGGGGAGCAGGGGTCCCATGCTGAGCCTAAGCAGCTGAGAATCTCATTGCTGAGCAGGTGGAAGAACCAGAGGGCAGCGGCTGCGGAAGTTCATCTGCATGAAAGTACTTGGTTGGAGGCAGGAGGATGCTGCCTGTGCGAGAGCACTTGGGTGAGAAGGTGGGATGGGGGAGAGGAACACGTCTTTCTCGGAGGCTGGTGCTTGGACGTGGGCTAGGATTCACATGTGGGTTCTCCGAGGAAGCCTCAGGTGGAAGCTGGAGGAACTGCCTCCCCGAGGGACTGTGGGAGATCTGCCAGGTGACCACGTGCAGAAGATGGAGGAAGAGGGCCACTGCATCCTGCTGTGGCTTCTGCATGGGGGCTCTGAGATTTGGGTTTTCTTGTTAACATGATTCTGTTAGGACACAGAGGGCAGTGGGGACGGGGAACTCCACGTGGGCGCACGCACGTGGAGCTGAGAGGCTGGGTGAGGGCTGCCCACACGTAACGCTGGTTAGACACTGTCAAGCAGAGAGACTCAGTGATGTGTGTTAGTCACTGTCGAGCAGAGACTCAGTGATGTGGGTCTCCTATGGATGCAGTGCCTCAAACACCCCTCTGGCCTCGCTCCCTCTGCCACTTATGCCAGGGGGAGACCCTGGCCCCTCTAGCCTGTCAGGATGTTTCAGACTCCTGGGAGGCCAGGGGCCTGGCCAGATCTCAAGATCAAACATCTACTGTCAGAGCCCCAGATGTGGCCACTCTCATTCAGGGGTCCCAGATCCACCAGCTGAAGGGCCAGGCCAGCTGGGTGGACGAGGGGGGACCCCCATCATGCCGGGGCACATTTCCTCTACTTGAGAGCTGAGAGCTGGGGCTGGCGAAAGACCCGGTGGACGATCCAACTGAAGGAAGGTCATACCGTCTACTGCCAACAGCCAGCACGCCCCATTCCTTAAGAAAAAGGAGGGAGGCCCAATGGCTGACACAGGGGAGCAGGCTGAAGGCAGAGTGATACTGACTGGATTATTAGGCTACGAGATTCTTTTTCTGAGACAACCATCTGGGGGCTGTTCCACCCTGGCAAGATGTGCTAAGAATTTTGGGGCGTCTCCTGCTGGAGAGGAAGAAGTACACTGGAGGACAGCCCTGTCTGCCCTGGAGGCCTGCCTGTTAGGAACGCCTCATGCTCCTTACAGGACTGCGGTGGAGTGAGGTGTCTCTCTGTGCCGTTACCTGATGATCAGGGCTTCCATGAGGAAATCCAGTTCGTCCTGTTCAGAACACACCTCGGGCAGCGTCTGGGCACAGAAGGGGAGGGTGGGAAGGAGGAGGAGGCTGTGAGCCGTAGAAGTCAGAGGCTGTCAGCAGAGAGCTGCGCTTACAGAGACCTCAGGCCAAGGTCAGACCCAAAGTAAGGGAGCCGCCTCTTACCTTTACAGCCACTTGCAGGGGGCTCGGGTCATTGGGCATTCCAGAAACCTGACCTTCATACACCTCCCCAAACGCACCGTGGCCCAGACCCCTGTGCAGAGGAGAAGGCGAGATGAGGCAGGGGTGGGGGGTGGTGAGAAAGTGGCCAGGGCACATTTAGTGGACACACACAAGGAGCAGGGGGTCACACACACATTCAAGAGTAATGTCCTCAATCTGGCTTTGCTCTGCAGTCCTGGGCCTCTATTGCTTTATCTGGCAAGAAAGGTTCCAACTGGGGATTCATGATATTGGCTGGACATTCCTTCAGTGAATACTTACTGAGTCTCTGATATTTGCCAGGGACAAAGAGGTGAATGGGACATGGTCCTGCCAGAGAGGCTCAAACTCCCTGGGGAGGGACAGGTGGCTGGCAGACACCTCCTGGCCCGTGCTCAGTGAATGAGAGCCGAGCGCACAGGGTGCTCTGGGAGCTGGGAGGGTGGAGGGGAGTGAGGCCTGGGGAGGGGTGCTTGGGTAGACTTTGAGGCTTGCCCTGGTTTCTCTCATTTAGGCCTCCTCTCATTGTACCAACCCCATGAATATACGGGGTGCTGAAACAAACACCCACCCGCAATGGCCCTGAACGTGAAACCTCCCCCCAGGAGGGCTGGGGCTATCTCATGGGTGGCTTTGCTGGCTTCTTGAGGTGCAAGGATGACATCCAGCCCCTTAGAACTCTCCCCTCCCTCCCTCACCACCCCCACTGCCCCACAGGACAGTGGTGGGCACTCACCTGATGAGGGTGATGTTTTTCCGAGGCACCTCCTTCAGGTCACTGATGGAGGAGGTCTTGCCAGCAAAGCAGTAGTTGGGGTTGTAGTCGGTCATGATGGTGGAGGTACGGAGTTTGCTCAGCTTGTACTCAGGGCTCTGCAGCTCCATCTGCATGGCTTGTAGCTCCTGGTGCTTCCGGCGGTACACTGCAGACAGACGGAGATCACCCGCAAGGTGGCCCCAGGCCAGGTAGCCAGGCCATCTCCTCCAGGAAGCCTTCCTGGATCTCTACTTCCCCCCGGGGATCTAAACTTATCCACCACACTTAGTCATACTAACAAAATGATTACAGGTGTGAAAGCACACCTTTAACTGAAAGATTAAAGTAAATGTAAAGCTTAAAACCATATGAATGTAAAAGATTTATCTCATTCTGCAGGGCCACAGGCACATTCGTTTGGGTCCTCTGAGAAGCAGACCCAAGATGGGATTAACGTGCAAGGATTTTATTAGGGGAAACGCCTGTGAGAGAACTTCAGGAGGGAACAAGGAAGGCTGGAAGAGCCACCAGACCATGTTGAAAATCTGACCCCTTGGGAAGGACAGAGTAAGGGAAGGTTGAGTAAAGATCCTTGACAGCCGTTCAGTTTAAAGAAGCCCCAGCAAGGCTGCTGGGAAGTTCTGGAGCCAAAGAGGCCATCAGAGGAGTCCCATGTCTCCAGGCAGTCTTAGTATCTCTGCTACGCCCAGGCACTGAGTGGAGCAAACATGGCCATGACTTTGAGAGTACAGCTGGGGGTCCAGTCACCTGTGCTTCCTACAGTTGAAGCACCACCAAGCCACACAGCTGGACAACTGCCACAGAGTGCAAGGCCTCTATTCTGGGTCTAAACTGGTGCCTGAGGACCTGAGTCCTAATCCTGCCTTTGTTACTTACAAGCTGTGACACTAAGTGACACGTGACTCTTTGATCTCAGTCTCCTTCTCTAAGCCAGGGCAGTAACTCTTGCCCTGCCCTTAAACCCCCACTCCCTAGGGTTGTGATAATGAAATGAATTCAACAGCATAAAATGGTTTTGGAGAGTTCTAAAGAGCTCTCCCAGTGCAAGTGACCAACATCATTGTTATTACTACATGAGAACATTCCATAAGGCAAACTCCATGATAGGTGATTCGCAGGGTGGATTCTGCATTTAAAGCTCAGCCCCACCACTTACGGGCCAGGGCAAGTGAGGCAATTTCTGAGCACTCAGTTCCTCCTCCAGGAAATGTGCCAGCTGTGATCATAGGATTCTTTGAGGATTTAGTGAACTAAAATGTGTCAATCCCCCTGTGTGTGCAATAATGGTATCAAGGATGGTATCATGGGGGTCACACATGCTACCATTCCCCCGTCCTCTCAGATTCCTTCACCCACGAGGGGCTGGCCTAACAGTGCTGCCTGGAGTCCAGCTTTGCCCTCCGCCTCGCCTCAGGTCCCTGCCCCCTTGCCCCAGGCTTTTGTAGTGTAATAGCTTGGCTGGACCACGCTGAGCCTTCTGTGACCTGCAGATCAGCGCCCCTTGGCTCACAGGCCCAGCTGGAAATACTCAGAAACCAGCTCCACACTCTCTGCGTGGGGAAGACAGGGCTGGGGGCGCGACCCAGGGAGTGAGCCAGACTAGAGGAGGCCGCTCTGATGAGAGATAAAAGTGAGGTCTGCAGTGTGGGCGAGCTTCAGCCATGGTGTCCTCCTCCGAGGAGTGCCCAGTCCGTGAGCAGCCAGGAGGCTATGCTTGGGGCTGAGGGTCAGAATCAGGGGCTCCCAGGAAGCAGAGCTGTGCTGGGGGGTGGCAGGCAGGGGGCTTCTGTTTTGGCTCCGCCTGGGCAGTGCTCATCACCACCCACCCAGAGTGACACCTCAGTGTCCGTGGCACAGCCTGAGATGCTATTCCGTCCTGCCAGATCAGCCTTCCCTGCCCCTCTTTGTCAGTGCCGGGGCTCTGGTACACTCACCGATCATGATGCCAGAGAAAGCCAGGACGAGGGCGGCCACAAGGGCAGAGGTCACAACGGAGAGGATCAGTGAGAGAGGCAAGTGGGGCTCCGGAGTGGGCGACACTGGAAGACAAGTTCCCACAACGCACAGATGACCACGCTGATTCTCCTCTGAGATGGCCTCAAGTCAGAAATCCCCTCCCCAGCCGGGACAAAAGCTGCCCACTCCTCCCCAGCCCTGGACACCTTGACCAGCATTCTTTTTGGAGGACCAGGCGTGAAGCAGGAGCATCCTGGCTTTACAACTTTCAACATAGCTTTTGCAGGGAGGGCATATGTAACAGAGATAAATATCAAATTATGGACAGGGATCCAAAACATCTCCTGCATATGACAGGATGAGGATGAAAGGTGAGCCAATGGTGGCTACAGAAGAGATTCAGGTGCCTTAGGTGACTACAAACTCGGTGCGGCCCAATGACAGTGTGCCCATCAATAACATTCTTGAGGCTGAATTGATTCCACATCCCTGGAGCACTGGGCCCAGCGCTGGGGAGGGAGGGCCCGGTGCACGCTGGCACCGACCACACTGAGGCACTGTCCCCGGTCCCAGACACTGCATTTCACAAGGGACAGTGACAACTGGAACACCTGCAGACGTGGGACGCTGGGATGAAGGGGAGATATAAACCTGTGTCCCACATGAACGGATGGAAATAAACAGCTTATTTGATTTGGAGAAGACTCGAGGAGGAGGACGGCAGCACTGTCCTCAGACACCGCGCCGGCAGGGCTGCTGCAAGCAGGGAGCCAAGGAGTGGAAGCGCGACGTCTGGGTCCGTAACTCCCCGATGGGACAGTTGCCTTGGGGGTATGCTGGGCTGCTCCAGTGGGGACGGGCTGGCCCCTTGCTGAGGATGTGGGGGTTCACACCCTGGGCTAGGGGTGGGACTAGGTCATGAGCTGTGACCCCCTTTCACACACAGGTCTCTCTGCCCATCGTCAGAGCACTAGTGCTGGGGGCAGACGGGGTGTCAGGAAGTTTACAAAACTGCACCTGAGGTGTCTCAGAACCCTGGAAACTAGCTGTGGCTCAAGCTCTGAAACCCCCTCCCCACCCCCTTACCGATGCAGGAGACACCGTCCTCAGCCAGCACTGTCCCGTGGTCACAGAAGCAGATGACCTTGTGGCTCTCGGGGTCCATGTGGCACTCATCTACCTCACAGTGGCTGCAGTTCAAGTAATGCTTAATATTCACCTCCCCGTGGCCCTCCATCACTGGTGACAAGGAGGGAGGGTCAGCCTCAGTCAGAGGCTGTGGGGCCGCCCTGTACCCCACTCCCAGGCTCTGTGCTTTGTCTTCAGCTGATCAGGGTGGGTTCTCTGGTCCCTGTTCCTGTGTCCTACTGCCCCTGGAAGCACAGCCTGTGCATGAAAGTCCCTGATGTATCTGGTGAGCAGAACTCAGAGGACATGTAGGTGCGTTTTTGTAGGCAAGGGGAGGGCCCACACGAGGGACACTTGGGTTGGCTGCTACGGGTACAGGGCCTATTATTGTTGCATCTTCTAGGACCGCCTGCCCAGTAGTCAGTCTTCTGCCTCTGGGTCCATATCAGATCACACATCCTGATTTCCAGAAAACTTGGTGAGAGGAACACTAGGAAGACTTGCCTGCAAGGGACCCACAATCATGCCTTTGTATCCTGGACTCACATCAGTAACCCCGAGGTTTTAGCTGGGAAGAAGAACTGGCCTAAGGAAGCTGGTTCTGCCACCTGGTGGAGTGGGTACCTTTTAAAGCTGGGGTGTACAGGATGCCCAGGGGATTGATGAAAGAAACCCCGTCCTCCCCATCCATCTCAGGGTCATTGTTTGAGGCTGCGTTGCCACCTGTGGCAAACCAGAGAAGAGTTTAACGCAGAGAGGTGGGTGCCCAAGTCTCAACACACATGCACATCAGCAGGGCATGCAGTCGGGCAGGGAGGGGCCCCAAGGGGCAGGGGCGGTGCGGAGGGAAGGGAGGCTCAGGGCACAGGGGCTGCACCTGGGGCTGGGCTCAGTAGATTTAGATGCTCGATAGTGGGTGTATGGGGCACTTTCTCCTCCAGGTCCAGGCTAACTCTCGCTGGGGTCTCCACCCTTTTGCTGGGGCCCCCCAGGAAGCAGTCTATGTGAGCAAGAGTTGGAAGAGTTCTAGTCTCCACAGGCTGGATTGGCCCCTTGGCCCCTCTTCCAGGCCGGGGCAGCAGCACAGAGGAGTGGCTCTCCTGTTCCATGGGGTCAGGGTTGGGTTGAGGGGATGGGTCCCTGTGCCTTCAGGCTCCTGTCCCTCCTTTTAGCAGGGGCTGGGTTATTTTTGGGCTTCCCCCTTGGGCTCCTCCCACCCACCCAGGGCTTGGAAAGAAGAGCGTCTGGTTAACACAGGCATCTTATACACAGCGTAAAGCAAAACATAGACAGAACATCACAGTGCGTGCATGCATCGTGTCCTAATCTGTGGGGGTGGGGGAGCCATCATCTCCCAGCCTCTCAGCTTCAGAAGGCTCGTCTGCTCTGCTCAGAAGCCCAGAGGAGAACAGGGCTAGGAGCCAGCTGCTTGCTGAAGGGCTGGGCTGGGACTGCCCACAGTTGCCCTCAAGAGGAGCGCCCATCAGTACGGGGAGTGGTGCCCTTCTGGAAGCTGGTGGGCTGGGGCAGGGGAGGGAAAGTGGAGAGTCTCTGAGGCCAGAGTCTGCAAACCAGGTCCTTAGGGAGCCGGCTTGGCAAGGACTTGGGCCAGGCCTTCCAAAGGGAGGCACAGGGCAGGGGAGTCTGGCCTCCAAGGTTCTCATGCCAGTGTGTCCTTGGAGGTGACTCAGAGAATAGTCTGGGAAGCCAAAGTCCCTTTATCATCGGCGTTGGGGGAGATCAAGGATCACATGGGATCTTGATGCCATCATTGAAACCTCGAGGCAGGATGCTGGCTCGTGAGCCAACACCCTGCCTCTGGCTCATCTGGTGGGACTGGGAGGAAGGCGTGCACACAGTCCACACTTGGGGCGGGCCAGGGGCGGGCAGGCGGGGGTCAGTTAGAGGACAGGGAGGGGAGGTGCCTAGGACTAAGAGGGGAGGGGAGTGACACCTTGAACACGAATCATCTTTACCTATATATCCTCCGCCTCCTCCACCTGAGGAGCACCCCCCTCCACCCCCTCCGAAACCCCCTCTCGTCTCCCACCCCCACTTCTTCATGGCCTGGGGGCAGGAATGTCCTCCGGTGGCACCCTCCAGCAAAGACTTTCCGGACCAGAGCAAGGAAGTGTTATCACTCCAGCCACCTCCACCACCTACGGGAAGAGATGGAGAGAAGTCTCAGTGAGGACGCTGGCTAGGTTCAGTCGGCTACTCGGTCTGGCAAAGGAAGCAGGACTCGTGTGCTTCGAGGGGAGCTTTCCCCAGCTCCAGCACCGAGGAGACCTGTCTTCAGGGGGGTCTGGGGGCTTCAGAGTCCACGACTGGAAAACCCAGGGTATACTCTTTGCCCTAGGGAGACCAGCTTTGGCCACAGGTGTGCATGTCCAGATGGAAGCGCGCCTCATACCCCTTCCTGTCAGGCCTCTGGCTCAAAAGCCCAGGGGTGTGTTTGGTTAGGGATGGGGAGGTGGGGGAAGGGTGGCATGACTACTAAGCTTGTTCCTCTGCCCTCCCTCTATGCCTGCCAACTCCTGAAGCGCTGGGCCTTCGTTTCATCAACCGCTTCCCATCCCAACAAGAACCAGGACTCACCGGTCCTTAGGCAGCCAACTGTCAAAACCCTGCTGAGGTCACTGCACTGAAATTCCCAGCAGGAATCCTAGACTAGACATCAGATAACTCAAAGGGTTTTAACCGTTTACTGGGCAAGAACTTCCTCGGTCTGAGCCTCAGTTTCCTCAGCTGTAACTTGGAGATAATGAGACTCACCTCATAGGTTAGTTTCAAAGGAGACAGTGAGTGTGTAAACTGTCTTATAAACCACTAAATGGAGGGATCGCTGGGCATTTGTGAGGCAGGACACACGCGTGCAGGCCTCACACTCTGAAGCTTGAGCAGAGACTTGCCTGCCTGCTTCTAAGGAGCTGCTCCAAGTCAAGGGCAAAGAGGGCTGGGGTGGGGGTGGGGATGCTCTGCCTACAAAGCTAGCAGCTGGAGCTGTGCTTCCCAGAGCCTGGGGCTGTTTGAACTCTTGCAAAGGAAATGTTCTTTACAGAGCTAAGTTGAATGCAATTTTTTCTTAAGGCCACAAGCTGACACAATAAGTCTGTCCTGAGGCCCTTGAAATTCCAAGACCCCCATGTTGTTTTGTAAGACATTTCAAGAGCCAGTCAACTCCAAATGACCCAGAGGCCATTTCTGCTCCAGCGGATGATGGGGGGCGGGAACTGGGAGAAACAGCAGGGGTAAGTCTGCTGGAACCATGAGGGTTACTCTGCCTGGAAGGGTCACCTGGGAGAACTTGTGGCCAAGGTTCTTCTGGACCCAGAGGGGGCAGCAGAGGGACGTCTAGGTGGGGGAAGCTGCAGACATGGATGACTATCATGCTAGAAAGAGGGAGACCGGTTTCAGGAAATGAGACCAAGGTCAAGAAGAAGCTGGAGTCTAGAACCCGGACAAGCAGAGCTGAATCGAGCCCCCCGGGCAAGCGATGGGGACCTTCTATCAGCTTCGGAAGCTGCTGGCCTTGGGTTTCTAGTGTCAGGCCTCCCTTCTGCCAGCCTTTTGTCAAGGCTGTTGATGTCACCTAGCGGAGGGAAGGCCCCTCAGGTCCCTTAGCCGGAAGTGCGCTCTGGCAGCTGTGCAGGGCCGTGAGCAGCACAGTAAACAAACGAGGCTGAGACGGGCCTGCTTCCACGTCGCCCTCCTTGCCCTGCCCCAGCGCCCTGCCCTTTTCTCCTGCACAGCCCCTGGCTAAGTTGGTCTCTGACCCCCCCCCCCAACCCTACCATGCTGCCTTCAAGCAAATGTATGGAAAAGAAAACAATGGGTATAAAAATAGAAATAAGCCAACAACCATGTTTTACAAAATGGATTGCGTAGGACAGAGTTCGGCCATCTTGGGGAAAAAGCCACCAATTCTCTATGAGCTTGTTGACACTTCTGTAACGTGAAAATAATATGTCTGGAAAACCCCACAGAACTGTTTTGAAAAGCACACGTACAATAGATGCGGAAGCGCTTTGCGATTAGTAAATGCTGGACGGGTGTCTGGGTGCTGTAAATATCACTGGGGGTGACTCCTGAACGCTGTGGACCCAATGGCTGTTTCACCTTCTTCTATCTCTAGCCATCTCTCAACTGAAGAGAAAGTTTTGAGTATTTATTTTAGTTAATCTCAACTCTTAAATGCCTTCAAAAATCCTCCCTCAGTCTGACTGTGGAGAAGAGAAAATATAAAGATGAACTGCATTTTCTCTTTAGAGACAGCTGACTTCAGAGGGATCAGAGAATTGACATCCCCTTCGGTGTCTGTCCCCTATTTCTGTGTGATTGGCTTTCACTAAGGGAAGCAGAAAGCCCAGCCATGGAGGTTCCAGAAAGAGCTCTTCCAGTGAGGAGATGTGTGAGCTGGCAGCCCGGGGCCTGGAAGTACGAACAAAACACAGGGGCCTGGGCAGGGGACTCTGCCCAGATTTCTTCCACCGGCTCACGTCCAGTTGCATTTGGAAAAGCATGGGGAGGGTTGGACTGGTGGTCTGAAGGCTGCTGCCTGCCTCATTTTCTCAGTGACCTTCTGCAAGTCCAAACCCCAGGTCAGCAAGGTGACCTTTGGGTGCCCAAGACGTGGCTTCCTCTCTTGATCCTGGTACCAATATCCAGAGCTCCCAGCAACTCAAGGACCTGTGACTAAGACCCCCACAGGTGAGTAATGCTGCCTGGCTGAGCTAGCGCTCACACAGCCCCTGGGGAACGTTCTGGGAAAGGGTGCAGTGCTTTACCTGCGGCTCCGGAATTGCCGTTTAGCCCTAGAACTGAGGAGTTATTCTCCAGTCTCTCTGGGTGGAACGTGTCTGTCTTGGCCCCGTAGGCCCTGCCGCCACCACCAGCCGCAATGATCAGGGGCACTGGCACGCCATCCTTCATCTGCCCGGGGGAGACATTCAGAGATTGAGAAACTGAGCTGGGCTTCCACTCTGGAGACCCCTGACCCATTTCAATGCTTCAATGTGTCCGAGTGTTTGCTGGGCAGTGGGTGACATCTCGGTGGTCTGAGGGCTCTGATCTCCTGGTACAACAACCCGTCAGCTCCTCCCTGCAGCCCCCTACCCCCAGCTCCTGTATCAGTCCGGGTTCAACAAGAGAAGCAAAAGCAATAGGAGATATAAATACATATGAATACCAGGAGGGGAGGCTCGGTCTCAGAGACCCTTTATACAGCCTCTTTTCTGAAGCATCTCATTAGCCTTAGGGGGCTGGGGGGTGGCGCCCAGAAGCAGGTCTCCCCGCTTTCCTTCCTCTGCACTCTCAAGGGTCTCAAACTGAGTCCTCAGCATCACTGTCCCTGCAGGAGGACCTAGTGGGAAACCTTTGCCTGTTTTTGATGATGTCAGAAAAGTCCACCTTAGAATAGAGGAGGGCACAGTGGGACCCTGTGGAACTCTGAAGCAGGATGGCAAAGGCCTGTGTGGTGAAATCGGGCCGGTACATCAGCTAGAGAAGGCCCTCCCTTTCTTGGACAGACAGGGAACCTTATATTCCTCTGGCCCTTGGTTTCCTGAACTTTGAATGTGGCTAAGAGCACCCAAGGTATTTTGTCCAGGGCTGTCCTGAGGATCCAATGCCAGGAAGCAGAGAAGGCGCCGCCCAGGGCAGCTGGCACCAGACCTCACCTTAAATACGTAAGTGGCTCCGCCCCCTCCTCCGCCCCCTCCTGCCCACTCGTGCACGCTCCTGTTCACACGGATTTCTTCTTCTATCACGTTGTTCTCTCCAATGCAGACTTTCTGGATTAATCGGTTTGTCTGTAGAAACAAAAAGCACTTCAGCTTTGTGCCCAGGCTTCTTTACCTCCCAGCAGACAGATTGTCTGTGTGTAAAGATAGGGTTTGATGATCTCTCAAATAGCTTTCAGTGGAGCTGAGGAGACAGAAATTACACACAGATAACTGTCAATCTGGGGCAGTACTGGAGAAGGACTACAGAGACAGCTTAGGTAGAAAATGCATGAGAAGTTGAGGAGAGAGAGACTTTGTTGCTGACTGCTGATCAAGGAGGACTGCCTGGGGGAGGTGGTATTCAGTTGGGCCTTAAAGGACAGGGAGATTTTTAAACACAGAGAATGGGGGAAAGTTAGAACATTGCCGGGGAGGAGAGCAGCATGACCCCAGAGGGAAGGAGGTGAGTCGGGTATTTGGGGAAAAAGTACAAGGAAGTCTCTTTGGCTCAGAAAAGTCCATCTTAGGACAGAGAGACGGTCTGGGAGGACCTGCGAGGATCCACTGGACTCTGAAGAGGGTATGACAAAGGCCCTATGTGGTGAGACAGGGCTGGAGAGAGTGTAACTGGGAGTGGGTGGAGGGAACGAAACCTGCGGTCAGATCATGGCCAGAGGCCTTGAAGACAAACAGAGAAGGAGGTGGACTTCATTCTCTAGGCAGTGAAGTGTCACTGAGGTTTTTTGAGAAGTTGCAGTTTGAAGCATCATGGAAAGAGAAAAAAAAACAGTGCGAGGCCAATGGATCTTATTCCACTCGGTGTGCGCCCAGGCATCTGCGAGTCTCTAGGGTGAGCTAGAAATTCCTGTGACCCAGAATCCTGGAATCCCGGAATAAAGGGGGCAGCGTTTCAAGAACAGCCGCTCTGCTTGTCGGTCACAGCAGCTAGGACGAACTCTCCACACATTGGCCTGACCTCAGAGAAAAATGACTTCTCTTTCACTTAATAGAAGAAAGGCCAATAAAACATCAAATTTTCATCAAATGTTGCTGTGTAACCAGCCGGTGGACATGGCAATTCATCTCGAGCCATTCCTTATGCTAAAGCACTCGAGGGTGCCGGGAATGAGTACTAGAGAAATTTCCAGATAAATAGCTGAGATGCAATTTGTTTTATGGCATTTTGGATTTAATGATGGAAATAATTTGATATTTTTTTAGAGTGGATTTAGCGTGGGTGGAAGGCTCCGAATTGCTGTTGTAGAGAGCTGACATTTCTCCTGTGTGTGGGCAGGGCCGTCCAGAGCTGGGTTGCGGGGGCAGGCAGCGTGGTGCGGAGTCTGCTGGCAGGAAACCCCAACTGCTGCCTGGGGAGGGCCCCAGAGGCAAGGCGCATGTCCTGAGGGCCCAGCCGGGGACCAGGGATGGAAATGTATGCTGCCAGCGGGGCAGAGCAGAGCACAGAATACGGGGTCCAGTCTCGCTCCCAGCTCTCCCAGAGACTTGCTGGACCATGGTGGTGATGCACCTCACCTGCCTGGATCTGCCTCTGCTGTAAACTGGGGAGCTGCCCAGTGTCAACCAGTGATGCTAAGAAGGTCCAACTGCTCAGACTCTGCTCCCTTTCCTCTTCTCCTCTGCCCAGCAACAGTGGGGCTCCCACCCCTTGGGGATGCCCTCTTCCTATGAACAGAGTCTGCGGACGGCTGGAGATTGCTGGAGGGAGCAGCTGGACTGAAGGATGGCCTGTTGTCTAACCTGAGCCCAGCTGCACACCCATTCCCCGCTGACCCAGCTCAGGGGTCTCCTTTGAACTGGGGAGTGGGGCAGGGAAGAACCGATTTGACTCTCAGTCTGCGTCTTGCTGGGCCCAGCAGCACATCTGGAGGAGTGGGTCACTTTTCCATGGTTTGCTTTCTTCGCCTGACTTCCACGAGGCCACACCCTCTGGAATCTCTCCTACATCACTGGCTCCTCTCCCCTCTGCCTCCTTTGTCGGTTCCTCTTTCCTTGACCTCTAAATACTGGGGGCTCACTCCATCCTTGACCTTCTCTGTGTTTGGGCTGATTTCTCTGAGACTTGTATCTCCTTTCTAGACCTCTTTCCTGAGCTCCAGCAGTCTGTCTCCCATTGTCTACCAGCAGTCCCCACTTGGCTGTCTACCAGATCAACATAACTCGGTACGTCTGACATTGAACTCCCGCTCTTGCCCCCAACCCTGCTCCTTCCTCAGCGTTCCCCAACTCAGGTGATGGCAGCTCCCTCCCTCTGGTGGCTTGGGCACATTTCTTGAATTTTATATTCTAAGTATGCCCAGAATTCAACCACTTTTCACTATCTTTGCTGTTACCATCTTCATCCAAGCCACCATCATCTCTTGTCTGGATTAATGTAATAGCCATTGAATTAACTGCCCTGACTTCTCCCTTGGGCCCAAGAGGTCTATTCTCCATAGAGTAGGCAGAGGAACCTTTTAATATGCAAATCACTTCAGGTCACTATTCGGCTCAACGCCCTCTCATGGCTTAAATACGTTCTTCTGATGGTCTGACCCGGTCTTGCCTACTTATCTCTCCCTCCTGCTCCCCCCACTCACCCTGGCTGTTTCCTGAGCATGCCAGGCACGCTCCACCTCAGGGACTCGGCCTCTGCTCTGCCAGAGCCCCCCACATATTTTCCTGGTTCAGTCCCTCACCTCTTTCAGGAGTCCACTCAGCTGTCATTCCAGTAGGCTTCCTCTGACCACCCTATTTAAAACTGCAACCTGCCTCTGAACTCCGGCACACCCGACGTCCCCCTACCCTACTTCTAGTCACCCTCGCCCTGTCTCTTCTGGATGTCCCGATCACGTTTCCTAACTAGTTACTGTCTGTTTGTCCCTCCTCCCTGGTGTGAATGTAGACTCCTCGAGAGCAAAGGATCTTCCTTTTGTTCCTGGGTATATCCCAAGTTCCTGGAACAGTGACTGGCATATAGTAGGTACTCAGTAAATATTTGCTGAATACATTTGAAAGACTTGGGAACTGTCTGCGTGTGAACTGGCCCCTAAGAATATTTGTCTTGCAAGTGATGGGAATGCTAGCATCTAAAATTTAGACTGATGGTTTTGCTCCCCTGCGGTCATTTGGAAATGTCTGGAGGCATTTTGACTGTCATTACTGAGGGGTGCTATGAGCATCTGGTGGGTAGAGGCCTGGGAGGCTGCTCAACAGCCTACAGTCTACAGGACATGTTCCCCCTACCACAAAGAATTAATTATGTGCTCCAAAATGTTCATAGTGCTGATGTTGAGAAACCCTGAGCCATGCCACCAGATGAGGCTTAGAAGGACATGGAGAAGCAGGGGCTGGGGCATGTGTGTGTATGATGGGGTGATTTCCTGCAGCTGGAGCCCATTCCAGGCCCAGGCTGGCCAGGCACACAGGAAGAGCCGCTCCACACACAAGTGCAGTTGAACCAGCAGAGCTGTCAAAGCCTGCAGTTAAATTCTTAGGGTCCACTCCATTCTCTAGAGGATCCTCTCTAGATCCCATTTTTTGGCCTCAGGAGGACTGGAGATTGAGGTAGTGCCTGTAAAAGGTCTTTCTCCCTCTCCCAAATGACTCCTGGGGGGCGGAGGTGGGGAGCGCCTGGGAAGACCAATTATCTTCCCCATGCCTGTGCTATGCCCGACCTGACCAGCAGAGGTGCCCTCTATCCCTGGCTGAAAAAGGGCTTCTTTGGAACTTTCCTTGTGCATCCACAAAGTTTGAGAGCAAGTAGATCGATTAATAAAATGATAAAATGCAGCAATCCAGAGGAACAAGTAGATTACAATTGAATTAAAAAAAGGACGCAGTCCTGTGAAAAGACATAACTGATTACAATCCAATCAAGTAAAAGTCCCCTGCAGAAGTCAATGCAATCTTTCTGCTTAGATGAAAGAATTACATTAGCACTCAATAAATTCCTGTGAAAATTACAGCAGCTTGTAATTTAATGACTTAATACATTATATCAGGTTGGAAAGTCCTGATTCTAGCTGCTAAGTGAAAGTTCGAGTCCAGACGTTTCTCACACACAAGGCTGCACCTGTGAAGCTTACTCCTGCAGCTTTGTTTAACCTCTGAGGTGGGGATGGGGGGTTGTGTACTTTACTCCTGGCTCCCAGCCTGAGGCTCACCTCTTAGGAGCCCTGAGTTTATTCTGTGGACTTACACTGCTTTCTCATAGCCCTTGTTCCCACATCCGTCGTCCAAATCTGCTCTTGAGTAAGTTTCTGGAGAAGGAGCCCTGGGTCCTGGGCACTAGAGCCCAGATCCCTGTCCCGGCCCAACAGGAGCAGAAGTTCACCCCCAGGTGAGGGTGTGGCCTGACCCAGCGGGAGGCTCGCCCTGCAGGGTGTCCCACCAGGACAGCCTGTACCATCAGGGTCCTGCACCCCCCAACACAGGCAAGAGGCATGGCTGCTGCTTTGTAGGTCTCCGCCATCTCAGCCTGCTGGCCGTTTAGACCGCTGCAGGCCTTCGTAAGTGCTGCCTTGGAAGCTCTCCCTGCTTGACAGCTGGACACCCCAGTGGGGTCAGGAACCAGAATGAAGGGCTGTTTCTGGGCTGCAGAGGATGACACTCTGGCTTGTCAAGTGGTGGGCTCTAAGTAGAAACCGAGGCCCAAGCAAGTGCGGGGCAGCAAAAACAGGAGCCAGCATCTCTGTGCTGCGTTATCAGTGACTCGGGACAAGTCCCTTCAGCTCTGTGGTCTCCATGTTCTCATCTGTGAAATGGGGGAAGTGGATTACGTGGTCTTCCAGCTCTGAGCCCATGCTTTAAAAAACTTTCAAAATTTTAAATCGCACAAATAATAAGCGAATGTGTCCTTTTTGTAACAGCAGACATTACTGACAAAGCACCCTCAACTCCAGTCCTCTCTCCAGAAGCAACTAGTTATCTGTACCTTTCAGAACTTTTTCTGTGGTTTTATGTACATATCTGTGGCTATGAGACTGATCTTGAGCTGAATAAAATATGTTTAATCTGGTGTTTTCCTGTGTAAAATAATGTAGCTAAACAAAGTGGTGCCCTTGCAAGAAAGCTTAGGAAGTGGGCTTCAAGTCACACTCCTGCTGGGAGGAACCACCATCTGCCCATTCAAGCGGAGTTCAGTTCTCCAGTTTTAAGGATGCTCATGAAACCCATGCCTCAGCCTCAGCCCCTGTAGGGATGTGAAACACCAACAGCCACACCGTCCACTGTCTCATGTACCCAAATGGCCCTGGAAGGGGAGGAATATTCGCAGGTAGAACAAGGAGGTGAGTCCTGACTCTTTGAATGTGCGCTCCCAGAGTGGGTGTGTCTAGTGTTGGTGTCGTCCCAGGGACCTGCCTGGGTCCTGGTGAGAGTGGAACAGAAACCCCACTCTGGGCACTCACACTGGGGCAGGCGTCTTCCCCTTGCTGCCCGACCAGGATGTACAGCGTGTCGTCCTTCTCCAGGTTGAAGATGCCCAGCACAGACACGCCGTGGGACCGCATCATGGTGTTCTTCCCACCTTTCCCGCCAGCGGCTCCGTAGCCCGAGATGCTGCAACAGGACAGACCACATGGGCTCCTGCCGTGGTATGAAGACAGACTCCCTCCCTGCCTACCCAGCAGCTCCAAGCGGGCCGAGCGCACCACCCTCGTGCTGGAGAGCCCTCTCCCCGACATGGGCCCATGAGATCAGCAAGGATGGTCCAAACCTAGACATTTCCCCTCATGGAGGCCCTTTTCCCTGCAAGCAGCAGCTGTGGGGTTTATAATGGATGTACGACGCGGGTGGTCTGAGATGCTATTGGCCCATCCTAGTTCACTCAGACTCTCTGCCAAATCCTCATTCCTGATCCATTAGAAAAGGAGAGGTGATAAGAACGATTTAAAGGCTTGTTAATGAAAGGACAGCCAGAAGAATTATTTAGCTCAGAGAAGAGAAGCCTGGGGTGGGGGTGGGGTTGGGGGTTCTAGAGACTCCATGGAGTCCAGACACAGCAATGTGGACACGCCACCTCTGTCCTGCTCACTGCCCCAGGGTTCTGGGGCTTTGGCAGGTTGCCTCAGAAAGTTGTTTCAACCTGAAGGCGTGGTTTGCTAGGAAAACTGCTGCCCTGGAAGTAATCCTTGCTCTGCCCACTCCTGCTATGGCTGAGAGGTAAGGTGTACCTTTCTCATTTTCCATGCATGATTTACATAGTCATTTGCATCAATCTGCATGCGTTATGAATCATTCTGAACTCTTTCACATGTTTAAATTTAGCCAAATCATTATATTTTAGAAGTTGTTTGTTCCTGATGCGTTTTTCCCCCTATTTCTCCAGCCCCAGCCAAGACTGAACTCCAGCCCCATCTGGGTCTTGACCCAGTTCTTGGCAGTGAGGTGGGATGAAAAGAGCCCCAGGTCTGAGTCACATGCTGGGCGCTCTGCTGGCTGTGTGACTCGGGACAGCTTGGTTAACCTCTCGGAGCCTCAGCTTCCCATAACAAGAAAAAAAATGAGAACAAGGACCCTGCCCCCCATGAAGGTAAGCAGTGGATTTTAAAAAATTGCAAATCGCTGCCAAGTGCAAGATGAGACTCAGGGCTGGGATCAGCTCTGCAGACCCCAAAGGAGACAGTAGAACTTGGCAATCCAGCTGGATTTTACTTTCCCATGTGATGGCCTCAGACCCACACTTCCTCCTGGACTAAGATGGGCTTAAAGTCAGGGGGAGCTGGCAGCTGCTGGATTAGTTGTAGGGTAGGGAGTGCCTTCCTTATCAGCCCTCTGGGGCCTGAAATCACACCATCTTTACTCCTTTGGAAGCTTCTAGTTGCTACTTCACGGCTGATCTCCTGGGGGACGGGCTGTGCCACAGTGAAAAAAGCACAGGCTTGATGCAGACAGACCTGGATCCAAATCCACCTGTCACCCAGGGCCAGGAGCTGGATGAGACACCTCCCGCCCAGATGCCAGCCCTGGTGAGAGTCAGTGCCTCCTGAACTTTTGTCTTAGGCACATTGCTTACCTCTCCTGGTCCTGGCCATTACTGACTAGCTGTGTGACCCTGGGTAGGTTATGTACCCTCTCTGAGCTCCAGTTTCCTCATCTATAAAAGGGGGATAATATTTACCTTGAAAGGTTGTTGTGAGAGTTAAATGAGGTAGTGTCTATAAGGACCTAATTCAGCCCCTGGAGGGTATCTAGTGAGTAACAAATATAGCTGAGGATCTGATGTACCCTTGTGGGAGAGCCTGTCTACGCCTCTCCTAGGGGTGACTCCTGGGAGGCAGAAGTGGGTGAGTGAATGAGGCCCTGGTTTCTAGAGAGCAGAAAAATAGGTGAAGTAGAGCATGGCAGAGGCGCCAGGGTCTAGGGTGTGCAGTTTCGCCCAGGACCTAGCTCCACAGGCGACGAGCGGCGCACAGGCCGGCCATGGCACCTCTGAAGACCTCTGCACTGTACGAGTCAAGTCAAACTCCTGCCAGAATAACAACCTCAGCCTGAATCCCTGAAGCTTTCTTCCCATCCTTTGTAAACAATTTATTTTTGATGGTTGACAAACGACAGCAAATTAATATACCTGCCACTCAAGTGGGGAAAACGACTTGCAGTGACTCCAATTTACTGGAAATTACAGGATACTGTTCTCGACAAGCTGATGCTGTAATTTTTTTGTTTTCCTCATTTAAATCCATGTCCCCTGGTCAGAATGGATGTTTATTGGGTTTGTGTTTTGTATTATTGACTGTGAGCTATTGTTACCTGATGTAATTGAGTTGTGAATCTTTTTTAAATAAAAGATTAGCAGCAAATCAAAGTGGCTGCCGGCCGGATCCTGAAATGAGCGTCCAGCTGGGATGCAGCACGATGGTGGCATCGGCACCAGACCGCAGAGGGGCTACCGGGGTGGGGGGGGGCAAGGAGTGAGAGGACCCCACTTGGAGACATGAAGCACCTCATTTCTCTCCTGCACCAGCTCTGGGCTCTGCCTCTAATTCCCAGTGGGACCTTGAGTGAGTCCCCTCCATCCTTGGAGGCCCGGTTTCCTTTGCTGTGAGATGAGAGTAAGGTCCACCCAGCTTATCCATCCTGGCCTCCAGGGCTACTGTGCCAGCACCGAGACGCGAGGGCACGTGCAGAGTGTGATCAGTGGGAGATCTCTGTTCAGATCTGCAGTGCTTTTGACCAGATGGTCATGTGAGCCATCAGGGGACACCCTGGGGGTCAGTGGTGGAGGCGTGTGCTCCTTGCTGCCCCAGTTCCATTTCCATTTTGCATCAATGAGCAAGGCTCATTGTCCACTAGTTCTCAACCACCTTCCTGACCCAGAAGTATCAGAGCTGGAAGAGCTCTCAACCTCTCTCTACAACCCTGTCGGTGGTGGGAACTGAACCCAACCTCCATTCTGCCTGCAGCCACTGATCTCTGCACCACGCCCACTCCCTCCCTGCCCTCCCCCGACTTTCCCTGCTCTGAGTGCTTCATGGCTGTGGCTATGCGCACAATCACTCTGGCAATTATTCATGCCTTGTGACTCTCTTCGACAGTCGTCTAGAACTTTATCGGCATTGTGAACTGTTCTTGAGCTTTTCTACCCTGTGGTCTCTGCAAAGACTGTGCGGGTCCGCAGTCACAGTCCTCCAGACAACTTCTACAGCACCTACTCAGAGCCCGGCACACAGCGGGCGCTCCACGGCTGTGGATTTGAATGATGGTGTCAACCAGCTGCAAGTGCTGGTCCCTGGAGCCAGGTGAGGAAATGAGTGTCAGTGATGGTGGCCGTCAGGAACAGCTGTGGCCCAGGTTGGGCGGCAGGCTGTGCTGGCTCCAGCTGGGCTCTGGGCCCTCTGGTAACATTATGTCGGAGGAACAAGTGAAGCATGTGCGAACTGCCAGGAGTTGTGGGCTGTGCTTGACAAATGTTTTTATAGAGGATCTTGTGTGTGTGTGTGTGTGTGTGTGTGTGTGTATGTGTGTGTGTGCTGTATGTGGGAAGATGGTGGGAGGAGGAAGGCTGAGAAGGATTTGGAACTCTGCAGAGGCAGGCAGGAAGGAAGTCAGGCAGGCAGGCAGGCAGGCTGCAAGGAGGGAGAGAAGGATGAAGGGGGAGGTGGCTGGCTGACATTGCCGCATGCAGACTGCCTCTGCGTGGCTGTGTCACACATGGAATCGCACTAAATCCCCAGCAGGCCTTGGAGCTGGGCTCTGTCAGTGTCTGTCCCCATTTTATGGTGAGGCTGAGTCTCTTGCCCCAGCGCATACCCCACAATCCATCTCTTGCTCTGATCCTCCCCAGCCACCCACCGCCCTGGCACTCAGAACCATGACTCAGAAATCTCCCCAGTCAGGTGCCCCTCTCGCTGTTACCCTAATCCTTGCCTGTCCTTCTCAACCACGCTCCTTGAGACAGCACTGTCACTCATCGTCCTGGCTTCCCAGCCCCTCTGGGTATTCTCTCTGGGTATGCCTTCTTCCCACCCCCGCAGCCACTCAACCCTCCCCATCGTGCTGATTCTACCTCCCAAACATTCTAACCTCTCCTTCCACATGTCCTCTACCCTGATTAAACCCCTTTTGACTTTTTTTTTAAATTGGAGGTACTGGGGATTGAACCCAGGACCTTACATATGCTAAGTACACATTCTACCACTGAACTATACTCTCCCCTCAAGCCCTCTTGACTCTTGCCTGGATGACCTCAACAGCCTTCCCTCTGCTCTCCCTTCACCAGAAGGACTAACTGTATTTGAGAGGTGAGGCTCCAGCCTCTGGCCAGGTCCTGCCTCAGGTCTGGCCTTGTCCCAGGGGCTTCTTCTGCCAGCAAGACCCTCCCCTCTTCTTTGTAGACAATTCTATCATCTCCAAGACTTAACTCAGGCTTCTGTCTCCTTGTGGAAGCCATCCACGAATTCGGGCCCTTCGCCTGGCCCCTGACAACAGCGCCTTGTGTAAACCTCCACTGATGTGCTTTCTACCTGACACTGAAATGCTTTGTTCCTATGTCCACCACTGGCTGGGCTCCTCTTGTTGAGGGAGTGGATCTTTTTCCACTTTATATACTTAGTGTCAGATATGGTGTCCAAATAGGTGCTTAATACAGTCTGCTGAGATTCGCAAAGCAAGAGGGGGGCAGGTCTGGACACTAGGACATACGTTCTTGGAGGGAGTGACTGCATCACTGCTCCTATTTAGACAGAGAAAGTGGCAAATCCAGGGGAAGGGGAAGCCCAGGGCAGGAAATCTGGGGGTGGGGGTGTGGTGGGGTAGAGATTTAGGTTTTGACCTCTTGAACCCTCACCCCAGCCTGCTGTCTTCTTCCTCCCGGCTTGTCCTTCCTCTCCTCTTTCTGTGTCTCTTCCTTTGTGGTGGTAGATAAAAGAGCAGAAGGTGGGCGATGGACCCCAGGTAAATGACCAGTTAAGAGCTGGGGTGTTTTCACCTCTATGCATCCCTGAGGAAGCCCCAGGCAATGATGGCCCCACCTTGGCCGACGATGGTAGGTGCTTGATAAACGTTAGCTCCCTTTCCTTCACCTCTCTGACTGGTAGGCAGCCAGGTCGGCTGGAGCAATAATAGGCCAGGCCTCAGGCAGCAGCCAGGCAGCACTAGCTGAGCCCTACTTCCAGGAATAGATGGACTCCCGAAGGAATGCTCCCAGCCCTTCTCCTCCCAAGAACCTTTCCCTCATGTCTGTCCTTCTGTGTGTCCCGTATTTATCTCGCTAGATAAACTGCACTTACTAAATAAGAATTAGTTAATATGGAGAAAATATCTTCCAGAAAAAAAGCAACTGACTTCTCAACCTAGAGATTCTGACTTGGGGTCATTCTGATGTGGTCTGTACAGCAAATCATTAAAAGGTCTGCTTCTTTGATGCAAAGCTATATGACCAATAGGCATTTATTGTCCAAGCCCTGAGCCTCATCCAGGATCAAGAATGAGGTGAGGGGCAGGAATATCTGTAACAGCCTTTACTGAGTTAAAAAACAAGGAGTCAAAAGCAACAATAAAAATCCCAAACCAGCGTTTTTCTGTTTTGATTCTTCCATTTTGATATGGTGCTATCTCAGGCCAGTGCAAAAGAGTCCTGTAGATCAAAATGTCCTCTCTATCCATATGGACACTTTAAAGAAAAGTGGCTCCTTGTGTGTGTTTCCAAAGAGCTTTCAGGAGGCAGCACTGGGGCCTGCGAGCTAGTCTCAATATTCCAAAGACAGGTGGAAACAGTTCTCTGGCTTGGGCAGGGCTTACATCAACGCAGGGTGGTGATGCAGTGGCAATTCACGCAGATCAGAAACCTGGCTAGACTGAGACATGGCTGTGATTAATAAGAAATGGGAAAATGAATTAATTATTACTTAATAAGTGCAGTTTGGCAGGCAAAATCTTTCAAATCATGGGGCTCATCTGAAGAAGTCAGAAAAATGTCCTTGGAAGCTGAGACGTTAGGAACTACTGCTGTTCCTGGAGATGCTGCCTGGCCACTGCCTGACACCACTGGCGGAGTCTCTGCGGACTGGGCCGGGGGCACGGACTGCATGCAGGGTGTGTGCGAGGCGCTTGTGCGTGATACTCGCAGCCAGCTGGGCAGGTGTTGGCACCCTCAACCCGTATGTTTTACAGATGGAGAAGCAGAGTCTCAAGAGATTAAATAACCTGCCTGAGTTTGGAAGTGGGTCTGATTCACACTATCTCAGGGGGAACGCAGTCCATGAGGACCCCCCATAACTGACAGGGGACTTCCAGCCACTCTGGCTCAGGAGTTGCCCTAGGCAGGGAAGGACCAAGGGGTCTTGTTGGGGGTTACTGTTGAGGCCTCTGCCTTACAGCTCCTCTGCTTCCTTCTTCATGTTGCTTTCTGCAGACAGGCATCTGCACCAAGGAATATCCCTTCAGGTGATGGGGCCTCCCCTCCCAGGCTCTCATTTCCAGAGGCTTCCTGGAGATGGGTCCTGCCTGATTCCTTGGCTTCCACCCTCCCCCCACTTCCTGTTTCCTGCCTCTCAGAGTCCAGGTGTGAGTTTCAGTGGAAAGAACACAGATTTTGAGCCTGAGGGTCCTGGGTCCAAATTCCAGCTTTGTCACTGCTTGTGTGGCCTTCGATCTGCTGATAAGCTTCTCTGACCCCAGTTTCTTCATAGGGAAACAAGGGAATATGGATAAAACAGTAATAATGACATCTATCTCCTTGCTAAACGAAGGAGAAATACCTAGTGGGTCCTCAACAAACATGGCTGCCCTTCTCTCTAAGACAGCCAATGACCCCCAGAAGTGGGGAAGTGGGGCCCAGCAGGAAGGGGAGGCCTGGCCTGCTCAGTGTGGCAGGGCCAGCGGTAGATGGATGTCTTTGGCTGTTTACTGGGGATGTGTGGGAACAGGAGCGTCTAATCTGATTGCAGCCAAACCTTATTGCATTCCTACCCAGAATGTCATTTAAAAGCACTTAAGGCTCTCCCCAGAATGCATTTACACCGAGGTCCCAGGGGCAGGGCTACACAGAACAGGGCAACCTGAGCAGCTCCTTTCCCTCCCCGGGGGCTGAGGATGAGCTGGAGGCTGGGGGTTGCGGCAGGGGAAGTAGCTTGCTTTGCACTGTGTTCAGCCTCCCGGAGGGGGCATTTGCACAAACAAGGACATAATTACGAGGCTTCCTGTTAAACAGCCCAGTGTGCGGTGGAAGGAGCTGCCGCGGAGCTGTGCCTCACAATTCTGGGCTTGGAGGTGGTTTGTGGGCCACGTGGATGTGGGGAGGCTCTTGACTGTCTGAGTTTCCTCATTTGTAAAATGAGGACTGTGGCACTGGCCTTGTCTGCGTCATGAAGCTGTGTGAAGATGTGATCTAACCTGTGTGAGGATGTGATCTAACCCAGCGGTTCTCTGCAGCTGCATCAGCGTCACCTGGGAACTTGCTAGAAATTCATACTCTCAATGAATGAATGAATGAATGGATACCATGAGTACAACGAATACCACTTATGTCTCCCTCCTCAACCTGCATCCAGTAAATGTCAATGTTTTGTCATAGTTGCTTCATTAATGTAAAAATATTTAGCATAAAAAAAGAAATTCATAATCTTGGACCCCACTCCAAACCTACAAAGTCACACACTCCATGAGCAGAGCCAGTGATCGGTGTTTTAACTGGCCTTCCTGTCATTCCGATGCCTGTGCAAGGTCAGGAACCACTGGTCTAAGCCCTACCATTAGCTTTGTTGAGCTGAGTGCCCACCAGAGCCGGGCCTCCCCTGAGCCTGGCCTTGCTCTGGGGGAACACTGAGGGGTGGGGTTAGGCGTGGGACAGGAGTTGGAGAATAGCTGCTTTTCTTGCAAACAATGAAGGCCCAGGAAAGGAGACTCAAGGATAACAAATCATCTTTCATGTGTATCATAAGTTCGTTTTCCAAACACTTTTACATTCACTGCCTCATTCGAACTGCATTAAGTAATATTCAAAGACCAGCCTGCTATAATTATAATTACTAATACAGCTAAAGAATGTTCCAAAGCTAGCTCATGCATGCATGTTATCTCCACAAATAGTCTGCGGGCTCCTTGAGGACAGGGGACATGTCTTCCTTTCTTGCCATATTCCATTATCCCAGATCTCCCCATCTCCAGCCCTCACACTCCACTATGGGCCAGAGTCTGTGGCCTCAGAGCCTTGGTGTGCCGGGGCACCCCAGGGTGGGGCTTGCACCCACAGCTAGGACCCCAGTCCTCTTCAGGAGGGTAGATCTGTCCTTTAGCCTCCCCTACTCCATACGCACCTGTAGGTGTCGGTGGCTGGCACCTTCCAGGTCTGGATGCCCTTCAGGGGGCCCTCGCTCCCCACCACCACGCTCAGGTTGGAGTTCCGGTAAGCGTTGTTGCATTGGGCCTGCGTGGGGCCGTGGGGCCCACTGGCCCCGCATGTGGTGAACAGCCAGTGAACTGCGGCACAAGAGGAAAGACAATCACTCACTTGGCCTGGCCCTCCCTCCTCCCTGGGCCTCCCTGGGCTGCCTCTGAGCTGTCTGCAGCCTGGCACCAAACCCACGTTCCCAGATGGCACCAAGGCTGGGGCAAGAAACATCGAGCAGTCATTTAAACTGGAAACTTCTGCTGGGGATATACGACGTGCCAGGCCCTGGGCCAGATACTAGGTCAGAGACACAGATGCAGCAGACCTGGACCCTGCCCTTAAGAAATTTACAACCAACTGCAGGGAGACCAAAAGGGATGCAACAAGACAGGACAGTAAGGAAAAAAAAGCCATAGGAGGGTCCAGCTAGCACTGCACCGTGGGAGTTCTGAGCAGGGAGAGAAGACCTCTCTAGGTGAGACAGGCACCAGCCGTGGATTCTCACTGAGTCCAGCACAGTGCTGGGCAAACAGCAGGTACTCGATCTGGGCTATCGTGACTGGATCTAACCTGCTGTCCGAGGGTTTGACAGCTGCATATGGGGTCCTCCTAACTTGGAGAAGAGTAAACTGGACACAGAGTTAGCTCCATGCCCTCCTACCCAGAAAGGTCAGGTTTGGAAACTCACTGAAAGCAGCTTTCAGACTCTATGCAGCAGACTGTAAAAAATGGGATGGGCAACAGGTCACATTTGCCTTTGGTGCATGCCTTCCTTTTCCAAGCCCCTCACCACCCTGTCCTCGCCCAAAGCACCCAGTGCTCTTGGGCAACCTTCTGTGGGTGCCTCAGGAACACTTAGCACATCCCTACCCCTCCACTGCCACTGGGCCATTTCCTTTCAAACTTTCTACCTCTGAGCCACGTTGGACCTTTGGGAATTGTCAGATTTCAGGCAAGAATTCTAACATGTTTACAATCTATAAAAACTTAAAAAAAAGTGGCCTTGATAAATTACTTTTACTTAAAATACAAAAGTCTCACTATAAGATTGAAGAAATTATTTCCCTTTAAAGATATTAAGTCGACTTCTACCTACAGAAAATTACAGAAAAATTAATTTGGGTGTACATAGCTTTGTTCACTAAAATGTAAAATGAACTAACTTGATGCAAAATTGAAAGGTTAATCTGGGTTGCTAATTATTAGCAATCAGATTGGGATTATGCTGGGCAGTCTTGATAATCTGAAAACTGGGCTGGTTGTGGTGGGCTTTTGTGACATTGCCCTGGCCCTGAGATTAGGAGACCGAAGCTCTCGCTGGGGTTCCAATGCATATAGCTATTCAACACTAACTACTCAATATCTTTCTTGGTTTTATTTTTTTTCAGATGAAGATGTTGATTTCTACTTGGCTTCTAAAGGTCGTTTCAAGGGCAAGAAGGTGATGAATCCATTCATCTTTGGTGTGAACGGCTGACTTAATTTTCGGATCTACCTGTGTTGTAAAGGGTGGGTAACCTGTTAATTCAAAGGGCTAACTCTTTACAGGAGGCATTTCAGTAGAGCGGTCTTGGCGGCAGGTGTCTTTTACCCTCTTGAGTGCTCAAATCACAGGTGTGGGCTGTGCCAGAGGGGTGAAGTGGAAAGGACACGGGCTTTGAAATCATAAAGAACATCTGGGTTTGGGAGCAAACTTATTGATTGTGGGACCTTGATCATATTCTTTGTCTGTGAAAGGGGCTGGATTGGCATGAGGATTAAAAGAAGTAAGGGGTATGAAAGGTCATTGTAAAGTCTACAACTCAAAAAATGTGAGCTGTGTCAATGACTCCTGCCTATAACCAAGGCTGATGCTTTTCCTGACAACAGGAAATGTGGCCAGGTTTTCTGTGAATATAAATTCCCCCACCAATGCCTAGGAATTTAAACTCAGTGTGCTGAGGGTGAGGGTAGGAGAAGGGAGGAAAAGAAGAGCTCAGAAAAGGAGTTTAAAAAATATACTCCTCCCCAGAATGTAATTTGGTGCAGCCACTATGGAAAACAGTATGGAGAGTCCTTAAAAAACTAAAAATAGAGTCACCGTATGATCCAGCAATCCCACTCCTGAGCATATATCCAAAGAAAACTCTAATTCGAAAAAGATACATGCACCCCAATGTTCACAGCAGCATTATTTACAATTGCCAAGACATGGAAGCAACCTAAATGTCCATTGACAGATGACTGGATAAAGAAGATATGGTATATTTATACGATGGAATACTACTCAGCTATAAAAAAGAATGAAATAATGTTATTTGTAGCAACATGGATGGACCTAGAGATGATCATACTAAGTGAAGTAAGTCAGACAGAAAAAGACAAAAATATCACATGATATCACTTACATGTGGAATTTAAAAAATATGAGAAAAATGAACTTATTTATAGAACAGAAACAGACTCACAGACATAAAACAAACTTATGGTTACCAAAGGGGAAAGCAGGGGAGGGATAAATTAGGAGTTGGAGATTAGCAGATACAAACTACTATGCAAAAGATGGGTAAACAACACAGTGAACTATATACAATATCCCATAATAACCTACAATGAAAAAGAATATGCATATATATATGACTGAATCACTATGCTGGACACCAGAAATTAACACAACATTGTAAATCAACTGTACTTCAGTAAAAAAAAATACACTCCTCCCCATGATCTCTAGCTCTTTGAAGGCCATTCTGCAGATCCAGTCTGTACCCACAGTAAGCAGCCTGGATTGGGGGGGAATCCTTGTAAATCTGGGGCAGAAGCATGGTGGTTCATTTAGTTAATTCAGTCCTAAAAATTAAGTAATTTAGATATAAATATAAATATATATTTTCCCCCCTCAAGAGTGTGCTGAGGAAGACAGCTAAAGGAAGGCATGGGCTCGACACCCTACCTGAGCACTGATCCTTCAGTAGGACCCTCTTCTAACTTCAGCCTAGCTTTACATTGTTCTGAAGGTTCTGAGACATTCCTAGAGATGCTGGGCTTCTCTACTTGTTGGCCAAGTTGGGCATCTGATGAGGTAGGAAGAGGGACATGGGCTTTGCATCCAGATGGGCCAACTTTTCTCATTCTGGGTTTTGCCCCTGACAAGCTGTGAGAACTGGGGTAAATTATATAGCGTCTCTGAGCCTCAGTTTCTTAATCTGAGCAAATGGAGATAATAACACTTAGTACTTAGACTTGCTGTATTAAATGATGACCTAAGCAAGTGCTTTGAACAACTTTGGCATTAGAGATGCGTAATGAATGTATGCATAATGAATGTGTAATTTCTTGTTCAATTCCTGACTGTAGGGAAGCAGAGACACCTAGTTTCAAGATTTCTGTTCCCCAGTCCATAAAGAAGGAACTGTAGGGCTCTCTCTGAATAAAGGGACCAGTATTTTCCCAACTCAGTGGACATATATTAGTCAGTCTCAGGTGATCTCCATACACAAAATTCTGTTCTCATTTTTCAGAGACTGCTGATGGACATGTCCAGAGCAGGAATTCTTTCTAAAGTGGATTCCATGGGATTAGAGGATTTGCCATCCCAGGTCAGACCCATGATTCATCCAGCCAGAATTCTATTGTTCCCAGCAGCCTTCGAGGCATGGTAGTCTTCCCTGCTCCCTTGGATGGCTCTGACCCTCATAAAGCTGTCCAAAGGTGTTTGTAATTAATTTCTGTGTCCCACCAGCACCACTTCTTGGGGGTATGGGGTTTCTGAGTTTATTGCCCGTTATGCAAGAGCTGTCCAGCTTCTTATATGTGTGGGCTTGTCTTGCTGAAGCTTTATCCTATTCATTCTCTTTGTTCATTCTGTCTGGAATCTCACAGATACCACAGAATGCCACAGCAAGATGGAGTGTTGAAGATCACTGAATTCAGTGGTCCCCAAACTACCCGAAGACCTTTAAAAATACAGATTTCAGGGCCCTAGAGATTCAGATTAATAGATACTAGATTGGGGGAAGGAGGACAATATTTGCATTATGTGAAAACATTCCCAGGAGAACCAGCCTCCTGTACACAGAGTGGATAATCAGTCAAGTTAGGAGTTAAACAGAGATCTTCTGAGTTCAAGTTCAAGACTTGAAAAGGTACCACAATCACTATAAAATCCTCATGTTGTCTGTTTTTTTTTTTTCCTTTAAATCTATGAGCCTAGGGCTCAGTTAACACCAGAACAGACCTGACCAAGGTTGTTTAGGAACAAAGAGTAGGCAGGTCACTATGAGGGGACAGGTGAGAGTCTTGTCCTGAGCAACCTTGAGGGTAGACTCTCCGCCTCAGGAATCCCAGAGTAGCTTAGCCTAGCAGAGTGCGGGTTTTAGGGGGTCATGGGCACAAACCAGGGAAAGCAGGTGCTCATCGTCAGGACTCTGGTCCCCAGAGAGACCATGGGGAGCCAGGAAGTGTCAAAAGGGAAATCCAGTAACTGGAGTGTTTACAAGGTCAGCCAGCAGAGATGGAGAGGGACTGGGTAATAAGCAACAAGGTAAAATCTTGGTTATTGAAGAGAAGATGAGGTCACAGCAAGACGAGCAATAAGGTGGGCTTGATGCTGAGCTGCAGTCTGAGAGTTCCAGGGTCCTCATATTTCCCAGCGGAGAGCCTGCGTTGATCCCTGAGGCTCTGTGGAGCTATAGGAGGATGAGATGGCCCCCAAGTAGGGCCTGGATTGGGAGAAGGGGAAGGAGAAAGCCCAGCTCTTTCCTCTTTTTTTTTTACTTAAAAACAACAACAACAACAAAACTATTGTATGAAAACTCATTTATGAGAGAGAAAAAAAGGAACTGTTTTATCTTGTTCTTACTTATACCACACACTGGAAACCTAGTTTAATACTCACTCAGATCTAAATCGTATAAAGAACCCACAAACATCAAAATACTGATTGGTTATAGACAGCTGAGTAAAGAAAAATCCATTAAGCACTGGGTTTCATTTTAAGTATATCGCAGCATCCCCAAACAAATCAATTAGTAATATACAGCACAATGTTAAAAAAAATAGGCTAGATGGTGATTGTGCTGGTTTTATTACTGTTGCTAAGCCACCGCAT